TATATATATATATTGATTATTTTTAAAGGGGTGGGAGGCAGTGAAGTAACAATACTGGCAGATGACTGAGGGCATGTCTTCACGCAGTGGAAGACCGCTGCTGCTGTGACTGAGCTTTCAGAGTTCAATTTAGCAAGTCTAGATAAGACTCAATAAATCAAACTCAGAGAGCACCACCTACTTCTCCTTTTGTGAGGAGTAAGGGAAGCCGATGGGAGCATTTGCTCCCAAGCCCTCTATACCCCCTTACTTCCCTACTCCAGGTCACAACTCTTCATAGCTGGAGTTGCATACCCGGCGCCCAGTTGCCAGGTCCAGTGTAGACCTGACCAAAGTCGTTTAAAAAAATCCAATCTCGTAGCACTTTAAAGACTAACAAGATGGTTTATTAGGTGATGAGCTTTCATGGGGCAGACCCACTTCTTCAGATCATATTCTGAAAGTGAATTATGAAACAGAGGGATACAATGAAAAAGCAAACAAAATATACAGTAACGAATCAGATGTTAGCCATAAAGATATTAGCGTACTGTGGGGCTACTTTATGGCTAACTTTATGCTAGCATACTTTATGGATGACTTAGAACAACATTTCCTCAACTCCCATCCCCTATTACCCCTCCTTTACTTACGCTACATCAATGACATCTTTATCATTTGGACCCATGGTCAAGAAACACTGGAAGAATTCCACAGAGATTTTAACAACCTACACCCCACCATCAGTCTCAGCCTAGACCATTTGACACGCAAGATCCATTTCCTGGACACCACAGTACAAATCACTGATGGCAAAATCAATACCACACTCTACAGGATACCACTGATTACTACACTTACTTACATGCCCCCAGCTTCCATCCAGGACACACCGTATGATCCATTGTCTAAAGTCAAGCCCTTAGATACAACTGCATCTGCGCCAATCCCACTGACAGAGACCAAAAACTTCAAGATCTCTACCAAGCATTCATAAAACTCAATTACCCACCAGGGGAAGTAAAAAGACAAATTGAAAGGGCCAGACGAATACCCAGAAACCAGCTACTTCTAGATAGGCCCAAGAAAATCAACAATAGGACACCGCTTGTCATCACCTATAGTCTCCAACTCAAACCCCTCCAAAGCATTATCAATAACCTAAAACCTATACTTGTACAGGATGCTACACTCCGAGAGACTCTGGGTAACAAACCTATACTCTCCTATAGACAACTACCTAGCCTCAGGAAGATTCTTACCAACAACCACAGGGCATACCACATTAAAACTAACTCTGGAACTTTCCCTTGCAACAAACCCCGTTGCCAGCTTAGTCCACATATTTACTCTGGAGACATCATCACTGGACCTAATCATAAAAGACAGAACTATGTAGCACTTTAAGACTAACAAGATGGTTTATTAGGTGATGAGCTTTTGTGGGCCAGACCTACTTCCTCAGATCAATATGTGGAAGAAAATGCATTCCTTTATGTCCAGCAATGTGATATGCCATCATGTGCCAACAGTGTCCCTCTGCGATTTATATTGGACAAACTGGTCAATCACTTTGCCAGAGAATTAATTCTCACAAATCAGACATCTCCACACACAAAAACCTGTTAGCCTATATTTTAATCAAACAGGCCATTCCCTTAAAGGCCTAACAACATGTGTCTTACTACAAAGACACTTTAACACCAGATTACAAAACAAAAGGAAAAGCTATGTAGCACTTGTTAGTCTTTAAAGTGCTACATAGTTTTTCCTTTTGTTTTAGCAAAATAAGACTAACAGGCTCCCTCTCCATTACCAGATTACAAAGAGAGACTTCAGAAATCTTTTTTAATGCTAAAAAAATATTTTGACACATTGTGAATTGGCCTTGATTTAGATAATTACCTTATACATTAGAAAGATGGCCTCCCCACCTTTTGATATTGGTAGTAACTCCAGATAAGCCACTTAATTGACACTTACAAAGGTGGAGGGAGGGGTGGGCAGGAATGACAGGGAAGGAGGAAATTGCTTATTGTCTCTGATTCATTACTGTATATTTTGTTTACTTTTTGATTGTATCCCTGTTACATAATGGTCATGCCTATTCATTTTCATAATATGATCTGAAGAAATAGGTCTGCCCCACTAAAGCTCATTACCTAATAAACCATCTTGTTAGTCTTTAAAGTGCTCCATGACTTTTTTTGTTTTGTTTAACCAAGATCAGACTAACACAGCTATTTCTCTGTTGCAAAGTCATATAAAATTAGTCAGTACCAAAGAAATCTAACCATGCTGTGCAAATGAGCAAACTCTGGTGTTAAGAGACACACATTGCAGGGGAAATATAAACAGCCTGTATATATCACAGGGCTCTATTAGCCTAAGAACAGGCCTGGGCATCATTACAGACAACTCATGAAGACATCTGCCCTGAAAAATTCCATATAAAGAGAATGAAGAGTGTGAGGGCGTTCACCTTAGGGAGTGGGTGAGAACTCAATACAGCATTTTAATGTATTCTTAAGGGAAGCAAAAGATCTGGGCACAGCATGGATGCCAGTATTGTGCACAATCAATACCTTATTTAGAGGTTTGTAGTAGGAGGGAGCTCCATGTGAGCTGCCAGTTTGTCAGTCATCTTAGGTTTAATATACATTTGTTCGTTGGTCTGCTTTATCTTTTTTAAAGCTGTGGGGAAGGTGTTAAGAGAGAGAATGAACCTACTTGTATTTTACATAAGTGATTTATTTATATGAATATGGGGATTTTTTTAACAATAAAAAGTTTTACAATGAGGGCTTTTGTGTTTTGGGTTTTTTCTTTAGAACCCATCAAGGTGTGGGCACAAAGACTAAAGGTGACACGACAGAAGTATATTAAGTAATGAAGGGCAGAGCAAAACCAGATTTGATTAAAGCTTCTATCATCCCTATCTTATAGTGCAGGAACAAAGCGCCACACACTGAAGTTAAAAAGCCTGGCAAACAACTATGGCCTGTGGAACTCACTGCCACAGGTCATCACTGAGACCCAAGAACACAATACTCAAGGAGGAGCAGGAAACGCCTGGTGAAAGTGCGAGGCCTTCACCTGCAGGGAGTGATGGGCCCCCCCGGAGCCAAC